ATATGTAAGATAAATCCCTTTGAATTTGTTGTATTTGAGCATCTAATAATAATTTTCCCATCCTGCCTCCCACTGTTTCCATAGCAGAGATGCTACAGGGCTAGAGAGAGAGAGAGAGAGAGAGAGAGAGAGAGAGAGAGAGAGAGAGAGAGAGAGAGAGAGAGAGAGAGAGGGTGAGTATCAAGTCTAAGAGAGCAGGGGTGAAAATAACTCCAAAGACCTTTCTCTGCATGAGTTTCCCATCTGTCACCGACATTCAGCGGCATTAAATCATGCCTTTTGTACTACTAACCAGTCAACACATTCCCTATATTATATACTTGCAGATCTTTTGCACTAACATTCTCCTTCAAATGGACTTGTAATCAGCCATCATCTGTGCTAATCGGCTGGTCAGAGGCCCAGACAGAGATCTCTGTTGGTTGCAAGCAGCATCCTGTGCCTTTAATCAGAAGTTGCAGCTGACTGAACCCATTTTGCATTCACCTCTCATTCCACTCCACTCTACTCCACTCCACCTCCTCCCACTCCACTACATTCTCCTGCTCCCTCTCTTTTTCCATTCTCTTAGCCCCAACCATGGCTGTCATCAGAATGCAGGGCCTGTCTGGAGGACCACACACAGAGTAATTATTAATAAGGGAAGATGACAAGTGAACATCCCTCCTGAATGCTAAGAGATGCCAGCGGAGGCTGGAGATGGCCGGTCACTCTCTTGCTCTCAGGGATGCCGGACAAGGCTGAGCGCTGCTTTCCCGCTGATCTCTGTTCAAAGTCATTTACAGGAGGGGCATGAGAATATGCAGGTCCCATTCTGCTAATCATATCCTACCACACTGAGATTCTCTTTGCATGAGACTGCGTGTTCATAAATAGAGATTTAAGATTTCACGCTCTCTCAGACATGGTTTCAAACAAGACTCTGGCGGGTGTTATACTCACTGGGGGTTGCTCATGTCGAGGTCTTGTTGCTGCAAATAGACGTCCACACTAAATGACCCCAAGTGCAAAATGTGATTTCACCACTGCAGAGACCTGGCTCCTACCACACCTATAGAAAATGCAAAAATAATTAAGTAATGTAATTACTACAGAAAAAGAAACTCATGAAGCAAATAACGGGCACACTCCATCTGCTGAGGAAGATCGTGAGATATGACTGGGAGTTTCAGAACAGCAAACAATAGACCTTGAGGGGAGATTGTTTTGCAAAATGCTGTTTCCCAAGGACAAAAATGCACATTTAATCTCACAATTATGAAATATCTATATACAGTCTGATTATACCACAAATGCATGCAAAATCATCAAGTATCAATGCTTGGGCTTTTTCCTGAAGGCGCCCTGTCCTAACTGCAGCTTTAGCTATACTCTGTTCAACTGTTTTCCTGGGGAGCACTAAACTGTAATGGATTTTAAATCTCCTCCAATATACGCTCCGCTCTGTGAATCAGGGGCTGAGGAACATCACACCTCTTGCATAGCAAGTACAGCAGGATGCTAGCTCTTTGTGCCACAGGATAGAGAGCCATTGATGTCCAAGTCGGTTCAGTGAAAGCCCACTCCAGCTGCTTTGAAGGAAAAGACATGACATGACCGGACAAGAACATCACAAACACATAGCCACTGCTTTAATATGAAACATTTACTACTGCCAAAAAATAAACAAGCCCAGTTCTGGGTGTTGGAAAGTAATTGTTACACTGAAATCAGCTGTCAACAAGAGATAAATTATAACTGCAAAACTGCAATGATAACACATTTGCATTGTTTAGATCTTCATGTCTTGCACAATATTTCATGAATTTGGAATATTGTGTGACACACAGAGGCACAGCCGAAAAACCCTCAGACATGGAGAGGTGAGGAGTCAGCATTCAAAGCCGCAGGAGACCACAGCAGAGTAATGTAGTGAAGCACAGCAGATTAAATGCTACTCAGGATAAATCAGCCCAGGTCATTTAAGGGCTGACAGTGACACTGTTTCACTGCGGTGCCCAAAAATGTGCTCATAATACTCCAGGTAAATGATAATGCTCTGGCCATAAGATAAGCAGAAATTCAAAGAGGTTCACACATATCAAAATACTTAACGGGTGCTTTACTTTCTGTGTGCAATCACAGTAGAGGTGACCAGAAAGGCAAGTGGGATCAAATGTGCGTGTACGTATTTGATTCTGGGGGTAATTTACTGCAAAGCAAAGTGTTTCTGGACTTAATATCCGAGAAAATTTCACAATAGGCATCTTGAGTTACCACTTATTACTTTAAGTGTAGTCTACACAGTAACTGCTTCATCAGCGAAGGTGATTGCCCACAAGGAAGCAATTTATTTATTTTTTATTTTTCAGATTTTATTATTTTATATCACCAAACAGGCACTGTGGGTGCTATTTCTGTCCAATGCATTCTGCATTTCAACTAATCAAACATGCATTTGCAATCATTTCAAGTCCTGTAGCTACATAAACAGTCATGGTTGCTGTTAACATTTTCCCACTGTGCTTAGAGGCCACGCAGACTCATTCTCGTTAAAACCAACACAAATACATCAACTACACAGTGCCCTTTAAATCACCACCGACTCGAAAAGAAGCACAAAGGCATACTAACCTCTTCTGTTTCCGTGCTCTACATTGTGTAAAGTGTGGTCGTGACTCCTTTGCCCTCGCAGTGATGATGGTAATATCTCCCTCCACGCCGATGATGATGATAAGTGTGAGGGAAGCTCAGATCTGGCTTTGTGTAGGCTGCGATTCCCCTTAAATTTGCGTTGGCCAAGCACCCGTATCGCCTCTCAGAAGACAGCGCACGACGAAAACACCTACTCCGGACCGAAAGCAGCATCCTTCAGCGGAGACGACGAGGCTGTCACTGAATCAGGAAAATACCGACATCTTCGGAGAGGAGGAATAATGTGCTTACAGGGCTTCCCCCCCTACAATCACACCAGGGACTCCATGTGCCCGATAATAAGAGAAGGTTCACGACCGGGAGCTGTCCAGGTGCTGAAAACGGGATTCCAGCGGCTACAGATGTGTGACGAGCAGCGCCGTCAACGCGGGAGGAAACCGGGCCAGATGTACAAAAAACATGATAAAATAAAACACAAGACACACGCACACAGTAATATCTGTTAAAGCATATATGCAGTCTATATCTCTATTAAGCCATGAGAGCCTGCAGACGTCCCTCTTTCTATGCCACCCTGGATGCGTCGACGTAGAAAAACACTCGCTTCACTTCACCTCTTGAGCTTCAGAGTTCCTCGCGATAACAACCCACCCGCACGGAAGAAAAAAAAAAAGGAAAATCACTAATACTCTTACAGTAACTTCAAGTGTTTTAGTCGCGCCCATTAGTGAGATTATAATGACTGAGTCTGCTGCATTTAATGGCATTTATTAGTCTGCAGCGTCTCTGTTAATATTCCCAGATAGACTTGCTGAGTTTATTCCCAAGATCTGGGCTGTTATTGGTGTCAGCAAATAGGCTGCCACTTTCTAATAAAAGGGTTTAAAGGGGGTTTTAAAGTTGTAACTAATGGCTTTATTAAAGGTTAATAAATAATATAGCTTGTTCATTAAAAGCAATACCTTTTGGGGTTGGCAGGATATGAAAAAAAACTTGGCTGGTGTTTATCATTTCTGTTTGGAGACAAAGCAGTTAGAGAAGCCCCCTCCATCAATAAATCCTACAGTTATACGCCTTTAATAAAGGGCTATTGTTTACAATAATTTATCAAGTCTGCAGTTGGGAAAGTATAGAAATTAATAAATACACTTTGGTCCAGATTTTCCACAGCCCCTTTCCAGAAGGTCAGTGGTCACTGAGGGGCTTCATATGATGAACTATGACACTATAATAAAGACTGGATTAACTCTTATGCTGCAGGGGGATAAACACCAGCCAAGGGATTTTTTTTCTTCACAACCTGGAAAGTCATAAGTTGTTCCCATTGGGTGCTAACAGTTGATCTATAAAGCATTAGTGAATTATTTTGATTTATTTCTTTTTATTTAGTCATTTGTTACCAGATAAATAATAATAACATGGTAGGTCTATCAGGTGAGGCCCTTAGTAGTCTACTTATAACATGCTTTCAAATGATCAGACACTAAAGAAAAATGTCCTCAAAATAAATTTGGTATCTCTACAATGCTGCCGGATTGAGGCGTGTATCTGTGAAAAGCCTGGCCCTGATTACATGATCACTAGATAACTAAGAACAACTACAATTTCTTCATAAGAAAGCAGTAAACAATAGAAAAAAAGAGGCAGTTGGTGAGTCAACTAACGGTTCTGAGCTCACAACTTTAATTATATGTTTAAAGGAAGTGGCGTGATATCTTTTTAACCTACACAGAAGTTCCCACGATTCCATTCATGCCTTCTCTGCATACCGATCATTCCGTAGCTTCTTAACAACCCTAGGCATGCTGAGCTCACATGGACAACAGGTGATTTCCTCAGCCATCCTCTGCCTGATCTCATGATGCAACTAAACCTCCAAGAGTGAAAACAAAATGTAATATACACTCAAGACATCATCTAATAGTCTCACAACAGGTGTGTTTCCAGAGGGGGGGGGGGGCTCCACAGGTGCCAGGCATTGTCGTATGATACTGGATGAACGCATCTATTGGTACAAACCATGTCATGCAAGCAAGTATAGCCAAAGTTATGCTAAATTATGGTGATGGAAAAACTAGCATGGCCATTTCCACCCCTGCATAAGTCAGTGCCTCACTTAAAAAAGTCTGGAAACGCCCTTGTCTCACACAGAGGACAACATTGTCAAAATTACTTCTGGGAGACTTTTTAGATCTCTGATAGCTCTGTATGTATCGCTCATATGCCATTAAATGACACCATTTGACACACTAACAATAACCTACAACAGTTGGTAGTATGACGTTTACAATGTGGACAAACTGCAATCACAACATTTTTTAGGCCAAGGGAGGAACACGCCCACGTGTCTTCTCCAACAAAAAGCAGTTCTGAGTTACTTTGAAGTGTCACTATGACTCACCTTGGGAACCTGCACTAACTACCAAAAGCGGGGATTTCATGAGCTGGTAAGGACAGATTGTTTTACTTATTTCAGTCAGTGTGTAAATACATTCCTCTCACAAACTCAATATTAGTTCATAATGCCTTTCAGACTGAATACACTTTATATATGTGTAGGTGTGTTTTCATTATTAGCACCTGAAATATCTGGTTATGACAAGCTTTCCTTGGTAAGTGAGAGTTTCCTTCCTTTTGTGGGACAGTAAAACCGTTTCTGGTGTTCTCAGGGAACAGGAAGAAAAATCATTCCAAATGATGGCAGGTAAGAATAAATAACAACAATGTAAATAAATAATGTTATAAATTGACTTTTCTGTTGTGTTCTTTTGAAGAGCTATCTATCCTGAATCTGTTTAATGTCTCTGTAGAACACGGAGACCTTTGTGATGGGCAGGAAGCCACCTACTGCATGAATGGAGGGACTTGCTATAAAATACATTCCATGGATACACTCTCCTGTGTGTAAGTTAAATATAAAACTTAATTTTCCAATTGTCTATAATATAATGGGCCTTTAGGAGACTTTAACTTTTATATAAGAATATCTTTTGATGTCACAACATCCCAATATTGTGGACACATTTCCTACATTATTGTGCATTGTGTCTCACTTCAGGTGCAATGAAAATTACAAAGGCAGCAGATGTGAGCAGTTTCAGCTCTTCAGCAGTTCCGCCAATGCAGGGGAGGCTGGGTTAATTGCAGCCGTGGTCATTGTTGCCCTCCTCATCTTAGTGATGCTTAGTGTTGTTATCTACTACGTACGCAAGTAAGTACATTATGGATTTAAGATTACCAAGGTTCTTAAAGCATCTAAAAATAGTATTAGATTGTGGATGTGTGTTATGGGTTATAGAGTATTAATGTACTTAAGCTAGAATATGTTCTTTTAAAGCTAATAATCATTACTTGTGTCCACACGCAGGATGTTGAAAGCCAAGCAAGAGAGCCAACAGAACAACCAACCACAGTATTGGAGAGTAAAACCAAGAGTATGATCTTCCTTCTGATGTGCATTCGTTTCTCTTTTGGTTGTGTGTCAGATGGGATGAGAGATACGTGTCATTTGGCTTTTTGGACTTGGATATGACAATGAGAGAACAAAGGAGAACTGCTGCACAGCTAAAGTCAAGGCAGGTGAAGCTGATAATTGATTAATTGTCTCATGAGATTTCTGGAATCCACGCAGTTTAAAGAAAGGTGTAACTCATTAACACACACACAAGCAAGGTGTGAAACAAGTGTGAGTGGATGGGAATTGAATCACACCTCGCACAGTTTTAAACACAGCTATGAAGTAGGCACTGGTGTTACTCGTGTTAAATCACATTTCAATGTATGTGCTTTGAGATTTATTTACAAAGCATAGTTGGACTATGTTAAAAAAATATGTGTAATATTATTCTAAACATTGAATTGGTAATATGGAATAATGAAATAACCCCCTGTATCAATCAATGCATGTGCTCAATATGCCATTAGTAAATATTTTTAAATTGTGAAAAATACATGTGATGATCCCTGTTGAATGATGTGACTGTGTGATTTTTGGTGGGAGACCACACACACATGTCCACACATATTGTATTTGTATACTTGAGGATCCTGATGGACCAGTCATCCTCCATCCTAACCTCAGCCTTTAGCATATTCTTAACCTAATCCTAAATCTAATCTTAACCATAAACCATAATTACCCCTTGAAGTAAACAGGATTTGTCAGGATGACCTCACTTTTCAAAAATATCTTCCCCCTGCAGTTTTTAAACTCAAAATTGGCTCTGACAAAAGTGGACATGTAGGAACACACTGCAAACTTAGTGATACACTGTGTGGGAGTCTGTATAATTAGTGTATCCCAAGCCATTCATCAGCCTCCTTAAATCTAAAAACAGGGGCACAGGAGATCCCAGGAGTTTCATAATGAGAATGGTGGCATCAAATATGCTTCAATTCAGCGAGCTTAGGAAGGAATTAAAACCAGTTGGACTGCATTGCCAACAGTTTGTTAGTCTTTCTATTTTGATGTACTTCCAGTATTCTCCAGCAGTTTCTAAGAACCAACACTGGAAGAAGAAAATATTTATTTGGACAGCTGACAGCTTAGTTACTTACTAAAATGCATAATAGCCACCATTAATGAACTAGCTTTGCAGCACACCCATTCACTCATTAACATCTGAAATTGTTCAGAATCTTATCTTCCAAGATAAAGTCAGGATTGTACTAAATGGCTGAAGTCGATTTTAGTACTTATTATAGAAAAGCGATCTAGAAAGTTGGCTCAGCAGTAGGTATGCTGTGAAAATGTCACCCTATTTATTACTGATAGGACAACAGTTATTAGATAAACACACAACAGGGTTTTTTCCCACAGCATATCATGTTGCTATGAGAAAATATCTGTACAGGGTTGGCCCTAAACAGATATTTCATGTGACGTAGAAACTTTGGATGTGTACCATGCTGCTTTAAATAGCAATTGACCTCTTTCTATCATGTATGAAATGTTTTTATTTCTCTCAAATGCAGAAACATATATATTAAAATGTTCTTGTGTTAGCTTTTAAAAATGTAGAAATGCATGAACTCTGTGTACACTGATATCATAAACCAGTGTCCTTTTTTGTGTTAGAAATGCAGTAATTTGCTTCCACCTAGTGGCAGAATGGATTACCTGCCACGTGTTGTAATTTTGAATAAAGTTTTCTTTGCAAAATATATAACACCTATAGATGTTAAAGATTTATTCTATTTCCTCAAACACCCTCTGGACTTGTTTTAAAAAATCTATCAAAATCACATAAAATCACTCTTTTATCTGAAATACTTAGTAAAATGTAAACTTGTGCATTTCTGTAAACAGATTATTCTTACAGGCTTCTGGCTTTGTCAAACTCATGAGCAATTTTCAGTGCTGTGCCGTTGAGTCCCACAGACTGCATGTTAGCGATGATGGTGACCACCACCCCCTGTGGGAGAAGGGGAGTCTGTCCTCGGCTGTCCTTTATGTTCTCACTGGGTAACACCAGGAGGACACTGCTAGCCCCTACAGCGCCTCCTGTGTGTGACACGTAGTGTCTGCGCTTCCTGCACTGACCATATTTCTGTAGATTCTCCACTACCAGCCAACCTTGGGCATAAAGTCCATCCTTATCCCAGCTGGCCTCTGTCCTGTCAGCTGGTGCCCACAGATCTATGACAGTCTGGGGTTTGAGGAAGCCAGGAAGCAAGCCCTCTGTGTCCTTCAGGTGTGCCACCTGGTAGCTATAGAGTAGAGCGTTACCGAAAAGCAGCAGGTCACCCACAGTGGAAAGGAAGCCGCCTCCTGCCCACTTGTAGGAGTTGTCTACGTACGGGCAGTTCACAACACGTCCTCTCTTGTTGAGATGATAAAATCTGTGGAGGAGAAACAACAAAGAATATAGACTCACTATTGAACATTGATCATGTTGTGCAAACATGAGCAATCACAGCCACCTCTAAGAAATAACAGATCTCTACAAAGTTCTACTCTGATGTTACTGATACACCTCCACCTGTACTCAACAGTGACTTGTCACAGTAATTTGGACATAACTTCACACTGGTGATTATAGATTACCTGGAGCGGTGGTAAATAATAGGGTCATTCTCATCAGGCACAGTATTGAGCATCCCCAGCTCACGGAACATGTTCATCATGAGATCCAGGAAGTGCTGTCCAGCAGCTCGCTCCATAACAGCGCTAAGCAGGGTAAAGGCGTGGGTGGAGTACAGAAAAGTAGTGTCTGCATGTAGTAAAAAAAACACAACCATACTCATCAAGACATTAACATTGTGTCATATTTGAATGGTTTAGTAAGCAAATATGTGCTTTACCAGGTTTGAAAATGAGCGGGTCGTCCTTGAAGAGGTCCAAGGCCTGAGTGACACTTTCAAAGTTGTCCTTCAAGTAGTATTCCTCATGCTCAAACTCTTTTTTCTTCTGTGTGGCTTCTTTGGTTTTGGTGTTCTGTTCTATTGCAGGTTTATCTTTGTTTTCAGATGAGCTCTTTTCATCCTCTTTCTGGTGGCTTACTGGTAGCTTTAGAAGTCGCTTAACTTTCTCCTTGTCCTCCTTCACTTTCTTTGCATCCTTCTCATAATGACGTATGCCACTTAGGTGCGACAGAATCATACGAGGGGTTATTGTGACCTGAAAGGACAGAATAAATTATGTGCATTTGAGCTGAACACGAAAAAAGGAACAGTATGATCTTATTACTGACATTTTGCTCAAGTTACTTACATCCTGTCCATCAAATTGTTTCTGGGGAAATTCTGGGACATATTTCTGGACCGGGACATCCAGATCTAGTTTCCCCTCCTCACACAGTCGTGCAGCAGCTGCAGATGTGAGGGGCTTACTGATGCTGGCGATTCGCAGCACTGTTTCTGGGCTGCACGGCACACGATTCTCCAAATCGGCGTAACCCATCCCTTAATAACATGAAGAATTAACATGCATCATATAAGAATATTTATGTGCTTCTAGCCGTATATGTTAAAGAGTCCACGTACTGCATTTCATTTAATAATTTACTGTGAAAACCTATTATAACATAATTTCCAGTAAAGGAAAGAGGATGATTATATTTCACATTGTGTGCTGTTGGGTCAAGTTTCTCCGTGAATCTGTTGGCTTGATTCATGGCACAAACAAAAGGCCATTTTAGTTAACTGAAAGTGGGTCACTGTTCCAAAGCAAACACAGATAAAGCTTAAAAGCTATTTGTTTGTTAATAATTTATTTTTCTCCCTGGTTTCTCCTAGGTAGTAAACCAATGCTGGCTGCTGTTAATTTGGTTGACACTCTCCAATCAATTTATTGCAAAAGAGGACATCAGGAAGAATGGTAGACTTCTGGGGTATTGGCCAATACTATGCAAAGGCACAACATTAGCAACCTTGCCAACATTGATATAACAGAGCATTCATTTGTCTTGTGGGTCAATGTTGGACCAACCAAACTCATACCAAAGTAAAGGTAAACCAGTTGACATAGCTCAAGTCCACAATACAAAACATGCCAATAAAACAAAACATTATGCCATAAACAATTGGCATAATGTTCATGATGTTAGCATGGAAAGGTTGTGAGAAAACTGTCAGAGTTCGCAGTAACAAATTAATCAACAGCTATTTTGAAAAGAAATTAGTTTGAGCCATTTTACAAGCAAAAACTATAAAAAACATTCTCCAGCTCCAACTTCTCCAGCATTAGGATTTGCTGCTGTCCACTGTTTAAAATCATTTTGGGGTTTAGTACAAAGTAATTGGAAGACATTCCCAGGAGTCTGAGGGATTGTGAAGGGATATTTCCTTTTTTACTATTCTCTCGTGTCTTACAGGCAAAATGAATAAAACATCCATTTAAATGATTGTCCGATTACTTGATAATTAAAATAATTGTGTATAGCCCTAACTGTACTATTGTTGGTGGCCCAAATTTGACAACAGTTGTTGCACAGGTGTCTGCTTATATAGAAAACGTTATCACATACTTTAACATTGGACCAGCATTACTTTGTGTTGGGAGCTACTGTCAATGGTTGTGATCACCAATGTGGCACCAGTCCAGCATTGGGCCCAATAATCTGGCATTTGGCCCACAATACAAAACTATGCTGGGCAGGCCAAAACCAGCTACATTAAATTAACTGTAATTTGTATAAATGCTACATGTAGCACCTTTAAAGTGGACTTTGCAGGGACCAACCTTCACACCAGACTTGAGCACCATCCACAGAGACCCCAACCACCATCCCTGGAGCCCCTACCTCAGCCTGAGTGCAAACAGACAGACAGACAGACAGATACAGGTGGCATTGAAGTTAGGCAGGAAATATAGGGAGGAAAAGCAATGGATAAGTGACTAATCTAAAAGCAAGCAGTTCACAGGCCTACCTCTGTGCCTACCTTTATCCGCTCCACCAGGTCCCTGCTAACCTTTACGGCATCGCTGTATCGATCAGTCCGCTGTGCTTTTGTTACTTTGTCGTCACAGGAACTGTTGATGCTGTATTTCAGTCCGACGGCTAAAGCAATACCCACACCAACCCCGCATATCCAAATCCTGGACTTTGCTCTGTATCTAAAAAATGCTGCGTTTGACCCTCCGACATATCTTCTTTGTTGTTGAATAAAAACACTCGCGGACTTGACTCGCGCTCCGGCTCCTCGCGGTGTCAACACAGGAGACTCACGCGCTGCTAGAAGGGTACATTTGGCGCAGAAACCATTTTGCAATAACAGTCGTGACATTGTTAGAGGAGTTGCTTCTCTTTCCTTTTGCTGCCGATAAATGTCACTGGTTGATGAGCTCCGGTTAACAACAACAACAACAACTTGCTTCCTGTTTGCAACATCGAGCCAGACCAAATAAATCAAATCACGATTCAGACTAAAGATCGAGCGGGGGGGGGTAATTAACGTCGTACTTTACAGAAAGAAAATGCTCAGGATACATTTCTCGTGTTCACTTGATTTCGAGGTCTAGCTCTGTTCACTACCCACATGTGGTGTTGGTAAGAAGACAAATGTACAAAGACTTGTAATTAAGTTACAGAGAGAATAATAAAGAAGGCAATTTCTTTAGAACATCTACCACACATTTCCATATAGGCTCCCCCTCAGAGTCCCTTATTATCCCCCCTCTTGTAACAAAATCTTGGCAGAGATCTGCTGCAGAAAAGGGTCACATTTGAGTAGATCGCAATGTTTTTTGATAATTTTCTGAACCCTTCCAGATATAGTACTATATTCAGACACAAAGTGTTGTATTTAGGTCTATGAGATTAAAAAAAAAAAACTACATAAAATACTTATTGATAGCTGTTTCCAAACCATGGTTCCTGTAACCTCTCTGGACAAATCTTGCCTTAATTTGTCTTGATTTGACATCAAAATCACTGTCTTTATTGCATATGTGTTTAACCTTAAACTTCCCATATAGGGAATGTTGGCTAGTATTTCCTTGGGATGGTGACTTTGGGCATGCAAAATAATGCTTCTGTCAGTGTCTTACAGAAACATAGAGGTATCAAGTCACTCAGTCAGCTGACATTCACAGATAGCGAATACATCTGAGAAGACAATTTTCCCTTCACTGCACTTGACTGCACACAGTTTTCTCTTGACTGCATTTCAATGTAGGGTAAGTATGATTAATGTAGTTACAAAAACCACAGACTTCTTTGGTAAACACAAAACCACATCATCAATAAATCAACAACAAAATATTCTTCAAAAAGGGAAAATGATGTACCTTTTTTCCCCAGAGCCATAAACTAATTAGCATAATTAAGAACAAAGGGAGAATCCTATTTATAGCCAGAGTTGGGTTTGTCCATTCTGGGCTGCTGTAGACACAGCATGTTGGGCTCTGCGGAAGAGGCCCTGTGCCCTCTGTAGACAAAAACGTCTCATTCTAAGAGAACAAAAACATAATGTTTCTGATTTTTTAGGCGATTAAACACTAATGAAAACATATGAATATTATATTCCATTTCTGACAGTTGATCCTCTTAAATGTTACACACTGGACCTTGAATTTTAATATGAAGAAGCAGCTGAAGTAAATTAGAGTGGAACATTTTAGGGTTTGAATAGAGTTTCTATATGAAAGTATAAGATACGATTTGAAAAAGGCTTGAAAATGTGTAAAGATGTCTGAGTCCTTTGTGTGTGTGTGTGTGTGTGTGTGTGTGTGTGTGTGTGTGTGTCAAACTTCACTAATTAGCTCATCTCAATCAGCTGTATGTCAGCCAGTCAAAGGTTGCCATGGTGATGGTAACTGCTATTTCAACTGGCTCAGAGAGTGAGAATTATGCAGCGTCTAACCTCTCAGACTGCTTCTACTTCAAAGACAGGAGCTCATTTCACCTAAATGGAAATATAAGAAATAGGACACCCTACTGAGCACACTGTGTAAAATTGTGTGCCGTGTCAAAAATGTGAGCACAGGAGCCCTCTGTCCATATGATTCTTTCTTTTATAGTTTTATTTATTTGCTAATTAAGGTCTAAGCTAATTATGAGCGGATTTATTTTTATTAACACATTTGTGTGTCACATTTGGCGACATCTCACTGACTTCAAAGGGTGCCAACTTCTTAACTATAATGTATACACAGCCTTTACTACCTGGGCAATATCACACACACACACACACACACACACACACACACACACACACAGTGTGTGTTATCTCCTCTGGTGCAACAAAGGACTTTCAGAGAGGTCATGCAAACTACTTGCAGCTGTCAACACATGTGAAGATTGTTTCACAGAAGTTCCAAACCTACATAAACTACTGAATAATACTGTATATGGTGGCTATTGAGTAAAATAAAATAGCATGCAAAATAAAAAGGCTACGATAAAGTCATAGTTTATGGTAAGTCATACGCTATAGTAGATTATTAGAGTTTAAATAACCTACCCAACAATATACTGATAAATTGACCACTTTGTGATCTTAAAGGTTAATGTAACAATAACTCAACACAAATTGATACATAACTTCAACTGAGTCGAGACCTTTAAATTATTGTGCTGTTACTTTTGCTGAAGACTTTATTTAAAAACTTTCCAACAACATTGCTACATTAGTTTGATTCTTCTGAAACTGAACTATACGGTTCAGTAGTGCTAAGTGAGCTCCAGTGAACCAAAGAAACACATGATAATGTTTTTTCGCCCAGCTGGAAGTCAAACTGAGGGTCAGGCAAATATTGAGCCATGAGTAATGCAATAAAGCTGCAAAATGAACAGATCTCCATTTCTTTTAAACATTTAACACATTTTACGTGTCACCGGGAGAGATAAATTAAATTAAATACGCTTCATTTTCCTGTGCATTGCAACAGGTTTTATTCAATCACCCCAAAGTCTATTAAGACCTTAAGTTTAGGTCACCTCTATGATGGACAAAAATAGCTATGCATGGACCACAAACAAAGTAAGAAAACTTTCAAAACGTGCTTTTATTTATATTCATATTTTGTACATTTCCCGATATAATAAACACTTGAAACATCTACATTAATACAATGCTAAAACAATGCACAACCAGATGACTGAAATCATACTTCATGGACAAGATGAACAAATTTTGAAAACTAAGAATATTCTGTAATGCATTAGCATTTTCAGTCATTCTTAACAAAACAGTAGCACCAGTATACACACTGACAGGCATAGTCATTGTATACTTACACTTGTGCGGAAATTTTCTTTCTTTTTTTAAACATAGTTTGTCTTACAGACTGCAAAAGGTGCATAATGTTGAGGTTTAACTAAATGCAAAATTTCTCCACTTTGTCCTTTGGTATGTGCATAATCAAGGTGGAACGGAATGGTTTGTAACCAATGGCACATGTCATTTCACTGGATGACTTGTCAAAAAAAAAAAAAAAACTATGTCAAAGATTGCAAAAGGCAGACAATGTTTCAAGATAAAAACTGGCTTGCGAAAACAATCTTGTTTCTCAGTTTAGGCTTTATAAAAGGGAATGGTTAAGCTTCACTTCCCCTTAGCTTTGCTCCTTGGTCGAGTTCCGCTGAAGGCAGGACGGTGCAATAGGAAAAGCATCTGGCTGTTTGATCTCCACCATTGGCAAGGTACGAGAAGAGGGTTTATGGTAAGCAAGGTGCAAGAACAAAAAGCCAAAACCACAGTGCGTGTGGGGTCAGACCGTGCTTTCACAAATTATTCAGTTCCATTAGAGTCTGGTCCAGCATCTGGTGCATATCGAGGTTCTCTTCTTTAGCATGTGACAGTTTCTCTGTTAGAACATCAAATGAAGAAGTTTTAATCTCACACAAACGAGCATAAGCGAGTCAGTTGGTTAGTTTGCATTAATAATAAAGCTGCTACATCATTCTGGTCAGTTATTAAATTTGAGTGCTTTTAAACTGACCTAAACTTCACTTATAGAAAACAAGAGGAGCAAACAAAGTAATATTATGATATGCAAGCAACCATGCAAACAGGTTACAGTACTACAACAAGGTACTTATTAACACACATAAACACAACAATAATCCATAAAAAAGTGATCACTGAATAATGTTATAAGACTAGAAAATAATATACTTGAGATTATCCCTGATTTGAACTATTTTTGAATTTAAATTTTCACAAACAACACCACAAATGTCAAGCAGTGCAAGCATCGTACGCGGACAATGCAAACGGAAGAGCTTTGGATCTTACACTGGATTAGATTGTCATACACACATTAAAACAAAGCCGTCACAAACAGATAAAAACATTCACACAATTTAGTCCTCGTTCAAGGCCACGCGTAGTTCATTAGTGAGTAGGCGGTTTTTCTCAAGTTTCTGGTAGAGGTGATCTTTGCAGTCAGAAAGCACGTTGAAAAACAGAGAGAGGACAGGAAATCAGAGGAAGATAGGAAAAGAAGTGCAATGCCTGTTGACACCTACCTTCTCTAGAATGGGTGACCTGAGACTTTTTTAAACCTTATGAAACACACTGACAATATCTGAATAACTTTTCAACTCTTTATGAAATCACTAATTAGCAATCTACTTTTGCCTGCAACTGGTAAAGCAAGGCAGGACAGAAAATGAAGACAGAGGATGAGCAGATTTAACCGAGAAAGGTTGAAAGGAACAATGGCAGAAAAATAGAATCTTTTAAAATTGGATAGTGTGGCAACAAAATAGAACAAATAATGAATACTAAAGCTGCCATTTTGGTCATTACAGTCTCTATAAAATGCATCTAATGTGGCTGATTAACATCAGAACTGGAATATATGTTAGTGAGAATCATTCTGTAGCCTGAGTTTGGTCTGACACTGTAAGAATTTAAGGATGTGGCTAATGTTCTGCAGTCCCATTTAAAATATAAAGTCCCAAAACATACAGCACCAGAAAAATGCTCACTTCTGCTTAACTTAATGTGTCTGAATTTATGGCAATGACTTTAATGAAAACACTCAGAATGTGTGATTGTATATTTATTCAAATATATGACAGGATACTATGTATCATACAAGGCCCATGTGTCATAATAACTGATAGCAGGTTCATCCAATTTTTCCAGCAACCAGATGAGACTCAACAAATCTTACATACTGTTCTGTATTCTACCATTACACCCCATTACTCTACTTTACTTCAATCTTCCTGATAACAATCCAAGACGAATTCCCTCCAATTCACACGTTTCCAGTCTGCTCCTCCTGTCACAGTACTAAATGTTGAAAAGTGCTTGCATGCATCAGTCTCAAATGCTGAGAGAAAAGACAACTTGGCTCAGCTTTCAGTAAAGTACCTGTAGTTCTCCTATGTTTCTGTGCTTATAGCACTACTGTGATATTCCTAATATCTCAGCGTCACAGAACAATGTTTGAAGAAAAGGAAAAGAACAAGGAAAGCATGGTTAAGCTCAACTAATGGTTTGTGGAGATGAAGAAACAAAATCAAAAACATAACTTAAAATCAAGGCTTCCTGGTTTTATTAGAGCCACTTGAAAATAAATAGAAATTAAAAAGAAAACAAAGGACAGAGTAAAGAGATACAGCTTACATAGAAGGAAGGGTGTTTATTTTTTACACAATGCAGAAAGATTCTAGGATTCTGTACAAGAGATGGGACGCAAGTAACTTTGACATGATGTTGAAAACATGAGGAGGAAAGGAAAGCAAAGACAGAGTGGGAAGGGAAAATGGAGAGAAGGCTGGAGAAAGCAGACAGATGCTGCTCAGCCGGCAGGAGACGTCTTTGATGAGGTGTAAAATATTTATCTGTGTGGGAGAGAAGAAGTAAAGTGAACCAGGGGGGTCGGCGTGGGACCTACCGAAGTGTCTAGATGTGCACCACAATACACCAGAACCACACGAGTTATGGCAAAACACTACAAAACCACAACGCACAATGGAAAGGCATTGTGAAGTAGAACACGCTGACAAACACAAACTGGAGGTTGGACCAATTCCTCCCCCGGATTAGAACGAGACCTTCTGCTAACACGCGAGGAGCAGTGCAGGACAAGACAGACCGTGGTGCAACTTGTCAATCTCCCACACTAATTAAGCAAAACTTGGGGGTTCAACCACAGTGGTTCTATGTTAAACGAACAGTTGCGGGGGGTGCTCACTAATACAAGGGGGGGCCTTTCTTCTGGACAGAAGTAGACCATGTTAGTAGAAAAGGACAGAGGAAAACCTCATAACCTTGAGTTACAGTGGGTGAATCAGATTCTTAATACAGTCAACATTTCAATAGGCAACTTGCATGCGTGGCTTAAGATGTCAACTGTAAAATTGCATAGACTGACAAAATCAACAGTGCTTACTTTTCACAAAAAATGTAATTCACACTTGAATCAGCTAAGAAATGTAAACTCATGCTGAGTTTTGTTCATGCATCATTTCAGTCCTGTTTACAGCATTCTCAAAGCCCAATGATACTGATACAAAGGTATCATAAAGTATCATCATGACCACACTAAAGAGGAAGTGTGAGAGGAAACCAAGTTAAAGTGAGTTGTAATTATTGCAAGTGGGCTTCAATTACACAGACATGGAATACCACAAAGTCTGCTTTAAGACATTTAACTTTAAGACTATATAAAAACATAACCACATAACCATTTTAAATGTAGGAACAGATAGAGGAGTTGGACGTAGTAGTTATCAAGAGTACAAGGCAACATAGGGGAGACAATGAAGCCGAGGCAGTTGGTGTACAGAGAAGAGAGGTGCAGGGGGAACAAGCAGGCGCAGCAAATCGGAAATTACATGGAAGTCATGTCGTTGAGGGCGTGGTCCAGCTCCTCGCTGATGGCCTTGTACTTCAGTTTCTGGGCATACAACTCATCTATTGGTGGGTCAGGGGTGCAGGGGGAGGGAGGTGCAGTGAAAAGGAGCAAAGTTGAAGAAGGACATGATAAGGAGGTGAAGGGTGAAGCATCCAGACCATTGACAGGTGAGAGAAAAATTGAAAGAAAAGAGGAAAACAAAGTTACACCAGAAAATGACAGAATGGGAAAAAAATTCAAGGAAAATTCATCAGCATGAAGAAATGGACCATGTCTTTCACTGCCATATGGCTCTCAACTCTTAGCCCTCACTCTGACTCCTTCAACACTAAGTCAACATTTGGGCCTGTGATTGCTGATAAACATCAAAGCCATTCTTTCCTACCTTGGAACTCAAAAACAAATCAACCAGACTTAATGGAGATAGAATAAGGGTCACCACAACAAAAGTATGATAGAGAAAATAGAGTTCAAGAGCAAAGCAAAGAATGGGCTGAAGAGATTATTTTAAAAAGCACTAAGCACTTACCCAAAATCCATCACTGACACAGTAACAATTTCTAAATGACCCAATTGTGGGGTGAGGGGCAAAAAAAAAATCATACCTTCCAGGTCATCAATGGTCTTCTCAAGCTTGGCTACTGATCTCTCAGCGAACTCAGCACGAGTCTCAGCCTGTGTCACAGAAACAGATTTATGAGTTAGTCCGCGTGATACAGCACCTGTGACTTGTATAAGTTACCCTGGACTCATTCTGCAACTCCAGATAAGGCCTTGTGAAACTTTACCTCCTTCAGCTTGTCGGTGAGGACCTTGATCTCCTCCTCGTACTTGTCCTCCTTCTGTGAGTACTGTGGGACAAAAAAAAAGACAGGTGTCAAACACATGGGCATGGAGTCAAACTCTGAATGTCCACACATTTTAATACATTTATACAGATAAGTATTGTATGAAATAAAACTGAAGTGAAGAGATTGGGCTCCCCGGGCTCTTCTGCTCCCCATCCACACAGTGTAACGGGGAGCTGAGGGGTTTTACAGCATACAGTCGGCCAGAAGGTGGCACTTACCTTCTCAGCCTGGGCCTCCAGTGACTTCAGGTTGTTGGTCACAGTTTTCAACTCTTCCTCAAGCTCAGAGCATTTGCTGGGGTTTTAGACAAGGGGATAAAGTTGCAAAGGAGGAGAAGAAGAAGGGGGTGGAGGAAAAGGAGGGAAGCAAGGGTGGACAGAACCAGAGGTTGGCACGAAACAGGCAGAAGGAAAGTAAGAAGGAGGGGGAGAGGAAACAAAATAAATAAGAACTACAGGAATTAAAACAAGGAGGAAACCCCAACCCCTTAAAAAGTGCCTTAACAGAGCAGGAATGTGACAATAGCAATGTGACTCACGAACAGTAGTAGGTTACAATTAAATCAATAATTTAGTAACATGCATTTAAATATCATGCTTCGCTTAAACGTGAGGTGTTATTCTTGCACAGTCACTGCCATGTTAGAGGTGTGAAAAAGAGTCTAATATACCCAGAATTAAAAGAGCACAAAAGAGGAAAAGAAAAGCACAGCAAGCAAGACTCAACTGTGACAGTGGGAAGAGACACTCATCAGAGATTTAAGCATTAGTGTTAGTTTTTGTTTGCAGTACCTGTATGACTGTGGACTTTAGTGATTTCGTGCTTTGCTCCAAAACCCTTAGCTCATCTTCCACTCTCCGAGATTCTCTGTAAATGGGTGCGGCGAACGTGTGCAAGCCATAGCCATTCAAACCATGGAGAGCATGCAAATAATCAGCACATACAGTCAGAACACAGGGCACACTGTTCAAATGGAAACACGTCCAGTACTTTGTGTATAAGTGCTTGAAGCAGCAACTGTTGAAACGCCAGTGAACGTGCAAGTGTGAGTGCAGATTTCGTGCATGTAAAAGTTGAAAGATCTTACCTTTCTGACAGCTCAGCACGCTCCTCTGTACGCTCCAGGTCACCCTCAATGATGACCAGCTTACGGGCCACCTTTAGGTGTAGCACAACAAAATGTTACAACACAACAAATGCTTGAGGACTGTGACGCAATTAGGATGTGGTTTAATTAAACTGATATAAGAACATTTAAGTGTTTATCAATGTATAATTATTGTCAACAATTATAACTTCTTATCTTAATAAGTATTCAGATCCTCTACTTAAGTAAAAGTACTAATATATTTCTGTAAACATGCTCATTACATACATTACAAGTAAAAGTCCTGCTCTGAAAATGCTATCTTAATTAAAGTGTAAAGGCATAATCAAGACTCAGTAGTTTCCTAATTGATTTTCTGTTAATTGACTAATCAATTAATCAACTAATAGTTTGATCTATAAATAAAGCATCACATTTTATAAACTCTTCATATATTTTGTATGCAAAATTGTATTTAGCTAAATAACTAGTAACTAAAGCTGTCAAATATTTGTAGTGGAGTAAAAAGTTTAACATTTCCCTCCAGTGAAATAGAAGTATATTGCAACATATGATGGATATACTCAAGTAAAAATTCATACTTAGGCACACTACTTGAGTAAGTGTACTTAGATACATTCCATCACTAATTATCAATGTGTTTTACTATACTGTTATTCATTATCTGTTTATGCACCAGAAGTTATAGTTGTTGACAAATACATAAATAAATGCTTAAATGTGCTTACAACTTCATTATGGTCTGTTATAAACCATGTATTAAATGTTTATATACTGCCTATAAATGCTAAAGTAAAAGTGTTATTTTATACTTTTTAGAAAAACTCAGGAACGTAATTAGGCATATACGGAATATACGGAATTAACAGATTAAGATATTATTAAACAAGTAAATACATCTTGGAATTCCACATATTATCAACAACTGTAACAAGTCTGTCACAGAACTGCTGATTGCCATAAACGAGGAACTGCATGTTTTGTGTTGCACTATTGTTTTGCGGTGGCTGCCTGTGGCTGAAAAACTCGCCTCCTCATATTTGCGGTCAGCCTCCTCAGCGATGTGCTTGGCCTCTTTCAGCTGGATCTCCTGCAGCTCCATCTTCTCCTCGTCCTTCATGGCCCTGTTCTCAATGACCTTCATGCCTCTGTGTGAGGGAACAAACAGTCACGGGATGTTAGGAATCAGGAGCTGAGACCTGACAGACAGCCTACAGTCTCCCTGAGGACACAGTAGTGTTGGCTGGTGGATGGATAAAATACAGAATTTGGGATGCTGCATAGCTAATGTGATTGTGAACTGTCTGACATCCAGCTCTGTGACACAGAGGTCTGCTTGTACCCTACACAAAGGGATGGAAACACAGCCCTGCCACCTGGTCTCTGTAGCAGAGATCAAAGATCTGAGTCTACGCAGCTCAAAAGAACCCACCTCTCGCTCTCATCAGCAGCCTTCTCAGCCTCCTCCAGCTTGGTCAGGGCTGTCGCCAGACGCTCCTGAGCACGATCCAACTCCTCCTCAACCAGCTGGATACGTCTGTTAAGGGAAGCGACATCTCCCTCAGCCTAGGGAGAGAAGAGGAGCGTGTCAGGAGATCGTGGATGTCACGATCTTAAACATACAACCTGGAAATCACACGTACACATCAGCCCAAAGAATGTACAGAAGGTGAATCAGTTTTTGTGGTGCAAGCTAACACTAGTTTATGCCAGATGAGTGTAATCATGATTGTTCGAATGTGTTTTTGTGTGGCACCTGTTGGGAAAAGCCTTCCCAGGAGGCTTGCCTGTGCTCCTCATTGACTATGTATAATGATAACAATGTCCCAAGCTGACAGAAGGTTGAATACCATGCCTCATTACTAGGTCCCAGAGAGAATATTAACAAGGCTCAAGTCAAAGGCCCTGAGAGTAAATGACTGCTCACATGGTACACATACAACCACAGAGGAGCGTCCCTGGATAGTTCACAACTGCGGGAGACATTTAAGTGTAATTTAACTGGTTACATTTGCAGCATTTTGTTTGGTGTTAAATTTAAAAAAAAAAGAAAAACTGCTGTGCATTAACAGAGACTGAAAATTAGCTGACCTTTACTGTGAACCTGTAGAAAGCTGCTTCTGCTTTTTACTGTCTGTTCAGCAGGTATGAGACTTGCATTGTCCTGAAAATGCACATTTTCCCTGCATTTCAAGTGTTCACTGCTGGATCAAAGTGCATCTAAAGTTGTGAAGCATGACAAGGAAGTTACTTTTAATCTATAAACTGAAGCAAAGGTCTCGACCCTATTTAAAACACCTCAAGGTTGATTAAGATGAGCTGTCAGTCTGAGCCTCAGACAGACTCAGACTGCTCTAAGCCCCCGCAGAGAGATCTCCCTTCTAGGTAGTTGCCGCTGCGTTCACACAAAGGGAAATCACTCTTTGTAGCTGTGAAAACCTGTTGTCCTTATAAGGGCATGTAAATGAGCAATAAGCTCACAGTGCTGAGTGGCACCTTCAAAATGTTGCCACCGTTTTGTTGCAACTTCCTGGTCGATGAACAAATTATTTAATCAAATGTCGCGTGCCTGCAGAGTAGAACAAACGCAACTTCCTGGAAAGCAGGTTGAATGGGACCGTTACAGAAAAAAAAAAGTGCATCAAAAGGAGATGCGAGTGAAACAGTGCAGGGGAAGATGAGGCAACACAGTAATACCAATGTGCACACGGTTGTTCAACTGCTTTGCCTTGGGCATCAGCGGCCTAACGTTACCAATTATAAGCGCTTAGCCGGGAGCAGCAGGCTATCAAACCCTCAGAGGAGTACTCTGCTGTGTGCACTGCATGGGAGCCGTGTAAGAGCTCAGTCTGCAAGCACGGCGGTGCATGAAGAGAAAATCCCGCTAACTCACCGTGGATCAATCCAAGCTGCCTCATGAACGGAACACACATAAATAAATTAAAACTACAAAGAGGATGACCAGTATTTTTTTTTGTGTGCATTTTGATAAGCAGCTCCTGTCCGGCTGTACGCGCGGTATAAACATGCTTACTTGTTCCCTGGCTTTCCTCTCCGCAAGCAACTCCTTCTGTAATCGCTCGGCTCTCTCTTCAGCATCGTCTGCCTGCTCTTGCAAGAATCTGATCTTTCGTTTGACGGCCTCCAGCGATGTAGCTCCGGCCATTGTTAACTAAACAACTATTCAATTAAAAAAAAAAAAATGGGGGCTACACTACGACCTGCAGCTGCAATTTCCGACAAATTTGTCAAGCGGCGAGATGACGTCCTTGATGAAGACAGGCTGGTCCGGACAGTGCGCAAGCTTTCTGGAGACGCACTCTGCAATGCCTGCCTGCTATTTGTCCAGGAAGTACCGCTGATTTCAGGCCTAAAATTTAAGTATTCTGCTGGGGTTGTGCAAAGTTACACTGTGGAAATCTGCTGCATTGCTACATAAAACAAAAAATGTGAATTTTTATTGATACAAAGTAAAAAAAAAAAATATTTAAATGAAAAAAAAAAAAACACTCCCAGCCAACACGGTGTAATACTCACGTCTGAGGCGAACTAACAGTGCCACAGCGCCACCTGCGGGTCAGCTCTGAGCAGTACACATGGCAGGGAAATACTTTGAGACTGCAGGCCATTCACTAAGTCTTCACTAAATACAGTAATTACAGGCTACGTTTTAGACTTTGCAAATATCACAGAAAATCCCTCCAAGACTATGAAAGGGTATAAAAACAAGGCCATAAAACACTAAGTAGTAGTTAAATTAATTTCAGTACTATAACCATACTAAAAAAAGTCACTACAGGACTATTAAGGAAAAAAAGGCCTATAGGTAATAAAATGAAGCATAAAGTGTGATAGGCTGAAACTAGATTAGGCTATAAAGTAGTCTCACTATAGCTTAACTCCCCGAAGGAATCCAATTAAAGGATTATTCCAACAGGTTTTCCTGGAGGCAACTGATAAGCCTCACTGCAAATTGATTCCTCTGATTGACTCTTGTGAGCAGTGTCTCCATTCAAACTTGGCAGACACCATAACTCGGTCATTAACTGTATTGTTTGTAGTGAAAACATGTTTTGTGAGGATCTAAAGCCTTTTCTTTTTGTCAAGCAGGTCGCAGCCTTTAAATGTCTAAATCTAAATTCTTTACGTAGTTTTACTGCCATGTATGCTGTTTATCCAAAAGGGGGAAAGCACTATAAGCAATACCATATTTTAAAATAATCATTTATTTGTTTGTCTGTGAATAAGCTCAATATATTTATTGTTTTAATTAGTACGCTCCCTGGGACATTTCGATGGGAAACTGTGTTTTTCCCTGTGGTAAGCAAAGAGCACAGCCCGCAGATGTGAGCTCTGTCTTGACCATATAAAGCAGTGGGCTATATTTATCCAGGCGCTTGCGCTCTTGGGAAGATTGGCATTAGGCTTCTTCGCTTTTCACCCTGAAAAAGACTTCTTCAGGCAAAGACCTACAAGACTGAACGCATGTAGGCCTAAAAACCCTGAAGGGGTGGGGTATTAATATCATCAATTAGTCTGTGGATGATGAATTGATTCATTTAATTTAAAATGAATAATGTGTATCAGTTAAACAGCATATCTGACTTTCTTTGGGCAGACGTGTAAGTAATTGTGTATGTGATCATTGACGAAACATGAAGCGACAGTTCAACAATAATTGGATCAGAAAGTCCATGTGGGTTTAGATGTTCAGTTTTCCAAAATCCAAACAGAAAACCACTTCAGATATAATAGATTAGGGCAGTTTGAATTCCACCAGAGAGGGATTTTTTTTCTCTCTCTCTGTGGTGTTGAACTGTCGTTTTCCACATTCACAGTGATGAGAGAATGAAGATGTGAGGAAGCGTGGTGCAGGAATGGTGCCATTTGTGAATCCCTCCCTTACTTACATCGGTGGCTTTCTTCTCAGCCAGCTCAAGTTTCTCCTGGGCGTCTTTAAGAGCCTCGGAGTACTTGTCCAACTCATCCTCAGTTCCCTTCAGCTTCTTCTGCAGAGCTACCAGATCGTCCTCAAGCTGAGGCGAGTTTCAGTGCCCAGACAATTTCAGAGGTGATCAGCGGGGAGTTGCGTGAGCGCGCACATGGCGCAAGAGCGCGTACAGAGAAAGAGACACATACACACACAGAACAGGAGAGGACAGGACAGGACAGGGGAAAGAGAGCAGAGAGAAAAGTTAAGAGAGCTCATGCACTTCAGGATCAGATACCTTGGTGGCGACTTCCTCAGCAGTCAGCAGCTTTTCCTCAGCAGTTTGGAACTCCTCAAACACTTTATCTCTTTCGTCTTCAGTAACGCGCAATTTCTTTTCCAACTCTCTTATTTCGTCGTCTAACTATACATGCATATGAAAGACATTGTACAGTTAAACAAAATATGAAATAAACATGCGATTATTCAGTCTAATATTAAACATTATCTCTCTCCAATTCACATTTTCTAGACTATAATTACTTCACCAATTAATCAAAAACAGATGAGAGGAGGATTTGTAACACCCCCCCTCCAAAAAAATAAAAAATCAAAATCAAGAAGGATGGGTTATTCTTAATTTAATCCTTAATTGGGATTATCCATGAACGTAATTAATCCGTATTTAGAAGGCGATCCATTTAAAGGGCAGCAGCCTTAAAGTGCTACTGGTATTCCTGCTTTTTCTATCGATCTTGTGGATTTTCCACAAAGGAAAAAAACAAAACACAAAAAATCAGCCGACCTGTTTGCTTCTGTCCTCTGCGGCTTTCTTGTCTGACTCAGCCTGCTCAGCTCTGTCCAAGGCATTCTCCTTGTCGAGCTTGAGCATCTGCATCTTCTTCTTGATGGCATCCATGGCTGGTTATTTGCTGTTAGGCTGCACCAACAAAACGTCCAAATGAAAACCGAGGAGAGGAGAGGAGCTGGGGCGTCTGTGCCTAACTGAACGCTAAGCTGGAGTGCAGGCTCTGCCTTACTGTGCCCTGTCAAATATGTACTTTCAAGGGGGGGTGACTGGATTCCTTTGGACATCCAATACTTTTTTGGAGGAGGCGTGTGTGGGTGCTCGGGCGTTCTTCAAGGATCTGAATGGCGATTCGTTGCTCCCAAACATTTGACTTTTGATACGCCTATATATGGGGTGTGATGGACAAGCAGGCAGCTCCCAAAGGAAGGACTTCCTAAAGGGAATGTAACAGAAGCCACTTAATGCACAGAGAAGATGCAGATGAGCATTTCTTACTGGATGAGCAAATCATTGAATCTGTGCAGGACACTTCTGTACAGTCTGTTTTAGCACTGTGGCAACTGGCAATACATTTAAAAGCACCAAGTGTGTCTCTTTATTGGGTGTCTTTTGCGGTTGTTCAGTTTCCAGTATTACTGATCTCTGGCACATGTTTGCTTTTTGTGTAATTTTTTTTCTGATTTCACAGTGACAGTGTTCTCCTATTCATCTGGCCCTGTAAGAAGGAGTGGAATCTCAGGCAGCTGTGATAACAGTTTGACCAGGCTTTTGTTAGCTTGCAGCCACGTGTGTGTGTGTGTGTGTGTGTGTGTGTGTGTGTGTGTGTGTGTGTGTGTGTGTGTGTGTGTGTGTGTGTGACTGTGCTTTGGTGAGTAGGTGAGTGTAAGTTCCTCTGGGATAAGTTATAGTAGCTCAAGGCAAGTGGGCTGTGTGAGAAGAGATGCTTTCGGTAAGCCAAGCAAGCCCTAGAGGCATTGTTCACAGTCTGGGGGGCTCAAGACAGGGAAGTGTTTACCTGATAATGTATCGGATATCCTTCCTGTAAACTGTTGATGTGTCATTTGACTGTGGCAGCACAGCGTCCAGCACCAGCCAAGCCCGGATGGGTTTTGTACCTTAATTACAGCAGCTCAGCAGCGGATGACATGGCATTTTAGAAATGTCAACTGTTTTATGAACTACAAAAGAGGAATATTTCAGTTTATGTGCAGTACATTAATTAGTAAGAATGTGTTACATTATATACTATACAATTATATTATAGCCTGTTATTATGTTTGACATTATTTATTTGATCCAATAATCCCCATTGTGGGATTTCTTATAATATTAACATTATATGAATGTATTGAGCTAGTGAGAAGCTGAAGCATACAACTGCTGCAAGTGGGGACCCACCAAGTGTCTTCAAGTCTCCACAAAGATTCTCAAGGATATTTTTAGGATTGCCTTCTCTTTCATGCACCTGCCTTAGTCTGTAATATGGATCCAAGACTGAGTGCCAAGAGTCCAAGGTCTAACGCTATTAGATATGTCCCCTAAAATAAGCCTTGTCCTGCTCAGCCTTTGGTCTTTTTTTATAGATTTTTGTTGGTACGCCTGGTAGATTTGTTAGTGTCTCTAGAATCAAATAAGCTGATCATTCTTTACTTCACTCAATCAGTATAAAATATGACCAAAACAACAACAGAAAATGAATGATGTTTACAATGTTTCCCCATATTGCTTCTATTGAAGGTCTGTCAAAGTCTTAGACTTTGACTGACAGGCAAGTAATAGAAAAATATTTTCATAATCTCAGGATAGCCCATGTTCTAATAGACTGGCATTTGTATAATTGTGATTGGCACTGAAAAATACTGCTCACAGATCTGGCCTTACCTCTGTCCGATGTTCTTTTGCTCTGGATCAGTGTTAGGTAAAAAGCTCTTTTTCTTTTTCCTAACAACAAAAACGTTTAAACTAAATAAATACCGGTATATAAAGTTGGGAGGTTGCTGCTGCACACAAATAGCTCTGAATACCCCAAGATACCACTGCTTTTACTGAAGTAAGTCATTTGCTTTGTTTAATGTTTATAGTGTGCATATGAATGTTCATCATGTGCTTCAAACATGTACATTTTACATATAAAATGTGCTCTAAATGTTTCTAGAATTTATATTGGATGCATTCAGGATTTTATGCAGTGTTTATTTTCAGTCATATTTAAGTTTTTTTTTTTAATGTCTTCATAATGACCTTATACCACTGACAGTAATGTACTGGTTGCAATTTGATCTTAATTATCTACAAAAGCATTTTCACTTAATGGACTCAGGGGAGGATTATGATGGCACACTGGATTTGCTGTGGCATGCTGGGAATGAAAATAAGCTCTATTATGATGTTTTACTTTAACATATTGCCATAATAAAGATTGCCTAGGGCCCAATACACTAGCTTTGATTAAAGTAGCAACAAATCTCTCCTTCTGTCCATATGTAATTGAAAGCTACTGCGTTCTGACTAATATCCCACTGGAAAATTAGAGGCCTTTACACATTAAGACAGAGCTAAAGAACATAAAGTATTTCTGATTCTGATTCTGATAGAGCATAGCTGAGTTTGAGTTTATTTCTCTACAAATATATGTTATGGGGAAAGCAATAACAATTCAGTATTTAATGCAGTTTTTGGACTGCGTTCTGAAGACACCACAGCTCCAGAAAGAGTTTCTTTTCCATGGCTGCTGAAGTGAAAAATAATCTCTAGACATATAATTTTGTGCTCTTTGGAAAAACCTTCTGCTTCTCAAGGCCTCTAAAGCCTCCAACCATAACAGCTTTGTAGCATTTGAGTTTGAGTACTGAAACATGAAAACTCATTATATCTGAAGTAGGGAACTTACTCATGTGAACAATTAAATATTTGTGATTTTGGTCTTGCTGTATTTTCTTCTGGCCCAAATCACTGCCAACAGGAATTTATTGTCTTCAGAAGACTGTGTTGAAAACAGTGATTGCAAACAGCTGAGGGGATGAAGTCTGACTTCACTATATGATGAAATTCTTTTCTCACAACATTCAGCTGAGTCTGAGTGTGAAAAAACCCACTTGCCATCAGACAACTGTTGCCCATTTTCTGGACAGATCTGAGGTACACTGACATGCTGGAATCCCGTCTCTGTGTTCTGGTTCAGTCGTCTACATGAGGCGACAGCTGAGTGAGACAGGTGCAGCTATGACCAGAATTCATATTCACATTCACTATGCTATCATTATCTTTACTTTCCTACCATGTGAGATTTTTTATGGCAGCTATGGTTATAAACAAGGTTGTAAAAATTACAGTGCACAGAACCACATTAAAACATGAGACAACTCTGAAACCACAAAAGTCTTATAGCAATAAAAATGAGTAAATATAGATGTAAAGGGACAGAAAAGTGGACAGATAAGTTGTCAAATAACCATATTTCACATGGATATTCAGGGAATTGACAATTCAGACAAAATAACTCCTGAACAGATTTTTAATTCTGTAACCTTGTGGTCTTGAGGTGGTAGTGCAGTTTGTCCTCTTGCCAGTTTAAATAACACACAGCATTTCCAAGTGCTTTAAGACTAATACTTTAACACTGTATTAGTTAATCTGTTAGGCCTACAGTGACAACCCACTATGTATATGGAATGTCTGGTTCTCCTCTGTCGCCACTGAGGGAGGAGCCAAGCTTTACTTGGCTGCCTGAAATCATGTTTGCATAAGACGACCCATGGGAGAGACATTTAAGGTTCTCTCATGGCTACAGTGTTACTGAATTTGAGAAAGTATGTCTCGGCCTATGTTGAGGTTCAGTCATAATGAATGTCTGATGCAAAAATAGCAATTTTTTGTATTTAAATAAAATCTTAAAGCCCTTACTTTACCAAAAATATATAATTTGATGTGAAGCTACAGTATTCTGACATGTGTGGTTATTTTCTAATGATTCCAACTAACACAGAGGAGGGAATATTGATGGTAGCTCTCCGTCCATGTTGAGTGCACAGCCACTGAGTAAAACTCTGAGAAGCAGAGTGTTGGCATGCTCCATGTCAAATACCATCTGAAGATTTCTGCAGACATCATCCAGATATATATAGAGAGAACTCCTTGGCTCCTTCAGACGGTACCCCTGGGATTAGATAGCTCCATGCAGGGGCATAATCATTTAGCATAGCAAAAACGGAGAGGAGGTACTGGGAGGGTGCAACCCAAGCTGTAACCCAAGCCTGGTCAGTGTCCTACTGCCGCTGGGTTTATTCACTGTAATGTTCCTCTGACATATACTGGTAGTCGTAAGACTGGTATATTAGTGAGCACAGGTGGACATATAACCACAACCAGTGTGCACAGGCTGCCACAGTATTTTAGTTGATGGATAGTTGCAATAAGACTGTGACACTTCTACTTGCACAGTTTTGTGTGGTGATAAATCTGTCATTAAGGATGTAAATCACACAAAAGTGTCCCTCAGTCAGTTGTAATCCCATAAAAACTTTCTGTTTGAGTTCAATATAAACTGCTAGAAGCAGCTAGAATTTTCACAGTGCTTAATCATTTGAGGAGTCAAATTCCAGTTATGAAGGTCAAATATTTCAGCTGCAGGTGCTCCAATGAAGATGGGCAACATTCCTCCTGTGCCAAGTTTTTGCTACAGTACAAGTATCTGGCTGTAAAGGATCTGTCATCTCTCAGACAGTAAAGGCCTGTAATAAATCTCTTACAGGCCAAGAATAAGGGCAACACCTTCATAATCTCATGTGATTTTATAGAAATCTTCCTGACTGGGTTGCTTTAAAAGTTCTGCTGAGGCTGACCTTATAGAAAACTGTAAGAAATATCCTCTTTGATATGCTCATTTCTTAAAGTGAATTTCTAAAAGAAAGCTCCTATTTTGTTCTTGCACAGATACATTGGTCAAAGTTGAGATTTAGATGTGATTCATCAGGTTTAAGAGAAGAAAGTTTGCAGAAAAGCCTCAGTGACACTATGCAAGCAGCGCTGACTTACTGAGAGAATACAAAGCTGAGCTATGTAGTAAAAATACCAAAAGTGAAGGCTTCCAGCACTACAAACACAAATGTGGGATAATGGAAGAATATTTGTGGCCTCGGCAGGGCTCCTCCTAGAATGTTTGTTTGTGTTCCCCCTCTACAGATGGGGACCACAGAGAGTCAAGAATGTCAGCCTTATCTGATGCTGCTCAGTCA